CGGGATGCACAGTGCACTCAGTGATTCCCAATCATCCGCATCCCATACCCGGAGTGGAATGTGGGAAAAGGTGGAAATCGTATCCTGGTTCGCCGTCGTTGCATTGGCCCGCACTTCGAGACACCGGGCTGGGGATCTACACTCGTCGATTTCCCGCGGGTCGTATAGGAACCGCGTAATAACTGTTGCAGCCCTGGTGTGGTTGACGTGCCCATGTAAAAATTCGGTCTGGTCCTCGATGCATAGGCGTGTCGGAACACCGTTGTAAGTAGCGCCGTGGAAAATTTCTGTAGAGAGCACACGGTGGAGGCCGTTAGGCCTATTGAAGCTACTTGAAAGGTCGTAGAAGGCAATAGGGAGCACCCAGGGCGCGTCGACCTCGCGAGCAAGTTATATAACGCAAATTTGGAATGTCATAGGGGTGGGCTCCAGCCATGACACAGTTTTCGATGGAGCGCGCTCTGGATTGGGACCTTTGCTGGAGTCATACTCAGACAACGTCGTCCGATATCGGGAAGACAGGTGGATAAGGGCACGGCGGCGAAGGTAATCCACCTCGTATTTGTGGCTGAGGCGGAGACATCCGGCGATGATCTCGAATGACGTTCGGGCTGGGAAGGGAGGGAAGTATCTGGGACTCCGATGAGACGCGCGATAAGTAGAAGAGCAAGGAGGTGCCTAATCGGGAACAAATATGGCTTTCAAGAAAGCAGTGACTTCAATCGCCACATCTGGGAGGCGTACAAGCGGACATCCCTCGACGAGCTCCGAATCTGAAGGCTGCGGGAAGGAGAGCATGTCCTGGAAGACGGGCGAGCGCGCCGCCAGGATGCCACGATACAGGCGGAACTGGCTATTCCCGGCCTGGATGACAATGTTTCCGTCCTCGAACCATAGTTCCTCCACGCGATGGGGTGCGCTCGGTTCAACCTCCATGACGGACGGAAAGAGGCGCTCCCGGCAAGCGACGACGTGTCAGAATTACAACTCCGACATCAGACGATCAACGAGCAGCAAGGTTGAGGAAATTTCGATGGACCGGGTTACTTATCCCTACGCCTGGCCCAGATCTGAATTTTACTCCCTGGCATCTTTCACTGGGAAGTCGGTCTCTGTTACTCAACGTTGCAATATCGACAGTTCACTCCTTTACCGTAAGCAGAATACAGAAGGTGCGGGCGCAAATATTTCGGTGAGATAAAAACATCTCCCGGTCCAACAAGTGTTAAATCACACCTGGTTAGTATTTTCCTGTGCCAGTCTTAGTGAGCGATGACACCTGGAAACTTCAAACCACGTACATCTGAACGCGCTTCCCGGACCAAATCTGCAAATTTGCCTGATATGGCCTGACCGGCCTATCAGGTAATATCAGGTTCAGGCCCCAGGTCATAAGGTGCTATCAGGCTCTGTCAGACCCCCCACTTTTTGACCCTCTCAATTTTTTAAAACAAAGGAAAAGGCTCTAAGGCTACACCCTCTCAGCAGAGCTAAATCTGGTTTGATCAACAGGATGCTCATTTAAACGATTGTCCAGAGTAAAATATAAAATGGACCCGGTGGCTCGAGCAAGGTACAAAACTCTGTTCGTGACCTTCCAACATGCACAGTCATAAACAAAATTTTCCTTTCAATTACTGCAAAATGGAATACTTGTGCTTATACTGTATGTAGCTTATGGTAATGGTAATGTTAATGTTAATATTAACTAGGAAATAATCTACAAAGCTTAGATTCAATACTCACGTTATAAAGATGCCTTCGAAAGAGAACCTCAGTCATTTTGTGTTTGCACCAGCCCACTGTGATAACTGCCTATCAGCACCTATAAAGCCCGTAAGGCCGATCAGGCTGGTCAACCATTACAAAAAATTAATGAACCTTATCACTCCCCTGAATGCCTGATGCACTTATCACACCTTATTTCACCTGATATCATCTTATCACCCAAATTCGGATTTTCCGACAAAAGCTTCATATCCGGATCTCCATCCTTCACTGGATCGAACACCTCCGCTCCCAGCATGTTGCTGTAAAATTTGGCTGTGTGCTCGGTGTGCGCCCCACCCGTAAAAAGTAAAACCACTCTGAGATCTGGCCATTTGGTAATGGCCTCATTTATGCATTTTATCAGCCATTTTCCTAGTCCTTTGCTTTGGTAGGAGGGAAGGATGAACACGTCTGTGAGGTAGGCGAGGGAGACGCAGTCTGTGACAAGATGGGCGAGTCCGATTTGCACTGGTTCGGGAGTAGCTGGATGTCATGATTTGGCTTTTCAGATCCCAAAGCCAGATCAAACTGTGATCACGGGAGCCTGTTAACTCGCGATCACATCCCTATGTGTTTCATTTTAACTCCTTTCTGGTTCCAACTAAACCCCTTTATGTTACACATAGGGTATATTATGACCGGACTCCTAGATACAGTAGTATATAAACCCCAGGTAGAATGCCCTGTGCTTTAGATTCTACCTCGTCTATTCACCGGCCTTGCTTTGGCCTGTTCTTGACCTGTGTTCAGCCTAAGCTTTCTCTGCTTTCACTATCTCGTTGACTTGGGTTTCCCTCTCCACTTTGTTCTGCTAGGCAAACCCTTGTCTCCTATTTCAACTCCTGTCTTGGACCTTTCTCGAATTCCGTCGACAGAGCCTAGTGGTGGGTTGTAGGGTTGTGAAGGGCTAGCCTACGGGATAACGCTGGTATCAAGACTCTCAGTGGCATGGACACGGAGTCTTGATCGCGTTCAGGGTTAGAGGGAGACAACCACCACCATGACAACTATTCCTATGTCTCTCAGCATTAGAGCGTAGAGTCCGAAGGAGCCTCTGTTGGATATCCCTGGATCCTGCCTCCCGTTCACTGGTCTATGATCAACCCATGTGTGTCATTTCATAATCCTGCTGGTAATCCCGTCGGGATATGCCCCACATTGGTTCAATTATCCCGGGCTCATCAGGACCACTTCAACCACAGTCTAACCTCTGGTTGAACTACTCCTGGGAGTGATCCTCGGTCGTCAGCCATTTGTATGTTCACCACAAACAGCCAGTTCCTCTCAACACCTGGGCTAGGACTTGACTGTCATTGACACTGGATCACATGTAAATGGAGCTCATGAGGGGAGCTTTAGATCGCTCACCAGGATCATCGGAGGCGATGTAAACACCAAAGCAGAGGGAGCTTTCGAGCATCTTCTGGAGCATGGTTGGGGAGAGACAGCACGTCCAGTACATGTAGTCGGACGCGAACACGTTGTTAATAACATCGGGCTGGAGAAGGGTGTACACAAAGTGCTGATGAGGAAAGTGTCCTTCCGCCATTCATGGGGGACGCTCATCTTGGTTGCGAGCAAGTTGTGAGTGAGTCACAGATGATGGATCCGAGTCAAATCTCTTTTTGGGAAAGATGCATTCGGAACCGGGCTGATATCCAATGGTCCAGAGATTCTGTTAGAAGTTTTGGTGTGCTAACCAAAACTATCTAACATAAATGAAACAGACTCTCATCTTACATAACACAGAAGTTCGAGTGTTCGAGCCCTCAGGTGTCGCCACAATATCACTGACTAACACTACGAAAACTGGCAATCCTCATTGCTGGGTAGATCTAACATGTCCCTGAGGGGTCTGTTTCATTTATGTTAGAAGCTTTGGTTAGCACACCAAAAATTTCAAACAGATTTGGTCAATGGCGCGAGGTATTGAATGAAGCAGGTAGTAATTAATTTCGAAAGCAAGCAATTATTTTGTTGGTTCCCATAGAAGCTTCTTCCGTGTGTTTTTTGGGGGTTGCACGCGCTGATGAGATTTGTGTCACAGGTTGAGAAGGCAGCTGTTTAATTTGAGCTCCTGGGTTATTCCATACACTCTTAACGAAAACGCATCATGTGCAACTGACTCAGACACCCTTCCTAAACTCTAGAGGATCACCCAATAGATTGTATTGGTTGTGCAAAGTTACTGTTTATGTAAATGTTTCGTCAGGCCCATTCGAAGCCAGACTCGTAACCAGTCTTCCTATGTAGTGCAAAAAATGTGGCGAGCACTGTTGCCGTAGACAGACTGGTACTTGTTGTTCGGGCCAATTCTGTGTTCGAATGTGCAGGTGAACATTTTATTCATTCGCACCAAGCATGAAATCCATTGGTAAAAATAAGGCTAGCACAGAGTAGTAAGTCGAACGTGGTGTACAGTGCATGGCCCTACTTTTTACTCGATTGTAGTCAGTTCAAGGGCAGGACTGAGTCCGAGTCCCCACATTTGAATTGCACGTGTTTCTTTTTTTTTTGATACCAAGCCACGAAATCCTTTGGTGAAATGAGGGCCAGGACAGAGGAAGAAAGCGAACATGGTGTACGGTGCACAGCCTTAATTTATTAGAGATTGGTGCATAGAGTTCAAGGGCAGGAGGGGTTCGACTCCCCGCGTTCGAATATGTGTTCCAAGTCCCTTTTTTGTATGAATGCACAAACTTCTTTGGTAAAAGAAAGGCTGTGTACAAGGGAATAACTCGAATGTGGTGTATGGTGTACGGTCCTGAATTATCAGACAAATTGGAGACGGCTGAATTCTAGGGCAGGAGGGGTTGACTCCCCGGGTTCAAATGGGTCAGAATAGTGTTTTTTTCATGAAAGTGAGGCTGGATATAGAGGGATGAAGTCTAGTGTGGTGTACGGGGCAGGGCCGTGCCTTAAAAGAGAGACGGCCAGATTCCAGGGCAGGACGGGGCTCGACTTCCTGCATTCGAATAAGCCGAGTACAATCCTTTTTTTTCGTTTGAAGCCACGGAATCCTTTGGTAAAATGAGGGCTGGGTACAGAGTAGTACCTCGAACGTGGTGTAGGGTGCACGGCCCAGAAAGATATGTGGGTGTTGAGATGATATTGCCATGTGTGGGACGGGGTTCGACTCCCCGCATTCGAATTAGGATGCCAATCCTTTCTTTTATTGTCCAAGCCACCAAATCCTTTGGTAAAATGAGGGCTGGGACATAGGAAGGAAGTCGAATGTGGTGTATGGTGCACGGCCCTGCCTTATCATAAGGGAGTGTTGTATCTCCGGGCAGGACGGGGTTCAACTCCCTGCATTCGAATGAGCGTTCCAATCCTTTCTTTTATTGTTCAAGCCACGAAATCCTTTGGTAAAATGGAGGGTCTATACAGAGTAAGAACTCGAATGTGGTGTATGGTGCACGGCTCTGAATTATACAAGAGGTACCAGAGGTTCCAAGGGCAGGACGGGGTTCGACTCCCCACATTCCAATAAGGTCGGAGAATGGAAGGACTTTTTCTTTTTTGGTGAAGCCCACGAAATCCACCTGGGAAATGGAACAATGTGTACAGAGGAATAACTCGAATGTGGTGTACGGTGCACGGCCCTGCCTTATGAGAATGAGAGAATCACTCCAGGGCAGGAGGGGTTCGACTCCCCGCGTTCGAATGAGTCGGGCTTCAATAAAACTTTTCTTTTGTCCAAGCCCACAAAATCCAGGTGTAAAAAGCACAGTTGCGTGCAGGAGAATAACTAGGATGAGGTGTATGGTGCACAGCCCTGGTTCATTTATGAGTTATACATTCAAAATTCAAGGGAAGGAGAGGTTCGACTCCCCGCGTTCCATTCAGGTCGTGGATTGGAAGTACTTTTTTTTTTTTTGGTGAAGCCCACGAAATCCACCTGGGAAATGGAACGGTGTGTACAGAGTAGGAACTCAAATTTGGTGTACGGTGCACAGCCCTGAATTATACTGAGACTCGAGTGAGTCCCAGGGCAGGATGGGATTCGACTCCCCGCATTCGAATGGCTCTGGATTTTTGAATTTTTTCTTTCATTGTTCAAGGCACGAGAGCCTTTGGTAAAATGAGGGCTGGGTACAGAGGAAGGCAGCGAGCGTGATGCACGGCCTGATATATATGAAATGGGTGACGAGTTCAAGGGCGGGACGGGGTTCAATTCCCTGTGTTCAAATTTGCAGTTATAAGGTATTTTTTTGTGTTACCAAGGCCCGAAATGCTTTGGTAAAATGGCTGGGTACAGACTCGAATGTGGTGTATGGTGCACGGCCTTGATATATGAAATGCTACCAAGTAATCTCAACTTGAAGGGCAGGACGGGGTTCAACTCCCCGCGTTCGAATTATTCTGCGGATTCAATTGTTTTCCGGTATGGAAGGAGGTCGACGGAGCCTCGAAGGCTGTGATTTGAACGCAAGGCTCGTGCCAGTGGTCAAATTGGATCCGGTCACTGATGTGGAGCAAGCCAAATTAGGAATTCTGAGAGGCCCAGGGGCGATGGTGTATATTGTGCTTGTACACCGGGGGAATCCCTGGAACTGGCGTTCATGAGTTGGACCGTGCCGTGTAATGCTACCTACCTACCTAAATGCAGTGCTACTTGCAAAACCTCTCCGCTCAAAAATTGCGAGTGAACTTATTCCGCTATGTTTTATTCAAATGCAAAACTGTGCATCGTACCAGCAACCAGCGGTAGAACCAAAAAAACTATCGATTTTCGACGGGTCTCGGCGTTTCCCACATCATCGGACACGTGAATTTGCGGGATCTTCTCATCGACTCCACGAACAGCGACTGACGATTTTGGCCGCACGACCAAAAGCACACTCTCCTTCCCCCACCATCTACAACCTTATATAACGACAACCCGCATTACGAGCTCAAGCCTAAATGTCACTCCGTGAGTCCTCCCCTGGCCGTCCTTATCTCCGGCCGTCGAGCCGAGGCCGAGCCTCGTTCCGAGCTATTTTTCCTTCGTGCACGATTTCTGCTCTTACGATTGCACGATTACTCTGACGAGCCATGTCGTCTGCGCCTCCCGGCGCCGCGAGCAGCGAGTGCCCCCTCCTCTGATCTTTTCTCCGGCTCCTCCTGTATCGGCCCTTGCTAACTTTGTCTTGTCTTTTCGTTCTGCATGGTACAGCGATCAGCCTACCCGGCCTGTCGAGCATCCTCAACCCGTCGTCGAGCGCGAGCGCACCCACCAGCCCCAGCACGACGAGCGACACCGGCTCATCGAGCAGTGCGAGTGACCCGGGCTCCAGCGCGCCGACGCCGCCACCTTCGAGCCCGCCACCTAGTAGCGCACTGCTGAGCAGTACGAGTGTGTTCACGAGTGCGTCGGGCATCGTCGGCCAGTCTACTTTTGTGTGCGTCCTTTGTCTTGTCTTTCCTTGTTCTTTCTTCTCTTTTCTATTCCCTGTCCTCTTCCTTGTGCCCCTTCGCTCTCTATTGCTTGGGTGGTGTGCGCATGCACGCCCACCCCACATCTTCCCGATGCGTACGCACCACACCATCACCCAGGTCCCCGTCCGAGCGGTTTTGGGTGCGCTCCCCGTGCTATCCGCGCCGAGGAGCTCCGTATCCTTGCCACGAGGCGACGACGGGCGACTGTAGCACGATGCGCACATGCATCCCGAGCCGTAGGGTACAACGCGATGCTGGTGGCTGCTGCTATTTGCGCGCCGACGCTGGGTGTCGATGGCTCTACATTGTGTCTCCACTACCCTGGATACTCTTTCCGGGTCCCCACTCGCCTTCGGGTGCATACGCACCTTTGTGCAGATACGCACCTGGGCGTCCTGGTCCGCTCGCGGGGCCGGGCATCTATTCCCGACGACCGCTGGAGCGCTGCTCCCCCCACTGGTCGCCGCCTTTTTGCGTGCATATGCCCCTTTGCGGTCCTGGAGCGTTCGTGTCTCCATCGCCGGTGGATGGCGCACGATGACGGGCCGCGGCCGCGTCGGTGGGCGTCGATGCCAGCTGGTATCGATTCCCCTCGGGGGTTGATGCATTTCGCTGTTCCCTCCGTGGAACGACATGCATACCCAGCTTCTGGTGGCGCTTTTGAACGCACGTAAAGGCTTGCAGTCAGGAGCGCCGTGCACACTGTATTCAAGATACACTAAAGTATCGCTATTGTCGATTGAAAAACATTTCATGTATGCGAGTTCCCTTGAACTGAAGCAGGGGGGCGAGAGAAATACAGTGGGTGGTTGTGCAGAACGAGTACAGTGTTTTTGTGATTTGAGAGATGATAATTATTAGGTCAGGTACGGGGGGGATTTCAAAAGAAAGCTTCAGAAGGTAGAGCTGAGCGGCAACTTCTCGTTTCTGCCGCGTTTGCACCATAAAATTTGTAGTCGCGGAGGATCGCGGTCGTCTCGACGTCCAATTGGAAGTCATTGAGTCCAGTGCTTGCACGCGTGAAAGCGCGGAAGAGTTGGACCTGCGAAAGAACAATCTGCGGCAGCGCAATTATTTACGCGTCTGATTTGTTGTAACATGTGTACGTATCTTCGTCTTGGTCCGGGAAGCGCAGTGTTCAGATGTTGAATTTTCGAGGTGGACATCACTCACTAAGACCAGTGGCACAGGAAATAGTCGCAATATTCGTGCCCGTACCTTCTGTATTCTGCCTGCGGCAAAGGAGTGAAATGTTGAGGTTGCAACGTTGAAACAGAGACCGACTTCCCAGTGAAAGATGCCAGGAAGTTAAATTCAGATCTAGGCCAGGCGTAGGAATAGGTAACCTGGTCCATCGCAATATCCTCGACTGCGGTTCAACTCGAACAAAATAAGTTCTGAATTTTCGTGGAATTCTGCATTGATTTTGCTGCTCGTTGATCGTCTGATGTCGGAGTTATAATTCTGACACGTCGGCGCTTGTCGAGAACGCCTCTTTCCGTCCGTCATGAAGGTCGAACCAAGCACACCCCAGCACGTACAGGAGTTGTGGTTCGAGGACGGAAACCTCATCATCCAGGCCGGGACTAGCCAGTTCCGCGTGTATCGCGGCATCTTGGCCGCACGTTTGCCGGAGGAGGAGGAGGAGCTATTAGGGACAGTCAGAGTAGGGTTTTTGGTAGTCTGTAGTTAACCACGCGCTGATGTATTGGAGGTCGACCTTGTTACGTAAACTTCGGAGTTTCAATTTGGGCCAGGCTCGTTCAACACTTCCAGAGGCCTGAATCACAAATCCTAGGAAGCCAACGGGCTCGGAATTCAACTCCGAGAAGCTTTGTCGCTTCATAATTGTTTGCCTCGCGCATTTTTGCATGGAACGAAATCTTCGTCGGCTCGCGTGGCCGGCCCATCAAAATTCGGCATCGCGGTTCTGAGGTCTATGCGGGAAAAGGGGACGGAGAAGGGACTTCTTTTGGCCTTCTGTAGTATTACTCATGACGAATCTGTAAAGAAACGCGCTCCAAACGCGCGAACGAATCCCGACATTTTTTAAGATTACATAATAAGGTCGACCTCCAATGACAGCTGTCAGGTATTCGACAGACTACAACACGCGAGGTACCGAGCGAAAATTGTTGTAGCGTCTGTTTATAAGAGACTAGGTTTTTGGAGGCGGTTCTGATGGTCGGTTTTGAATTTAATTAAAGTGTGAGAAAACCGCCGAAAACCCGAACCACCCCGCTGGGCCGGGATGATCCGGTTCTGGGACTATTCGCGTTGGAGAAATTTGGTATCAGGAATATCAACATTTAACATTCCTTTGCAGGCAGAAATTGCCACAGAATACAGAAGGTGCGGGCGCAAATATTTCGGTGACATAAAACATCTCCCGGTCCTATAAGTGTTAAATCACGCCTTGCTACTATTTTTCTGTGCCAGTCTTAGTGCCAGTGAGTGATCTCCACGAAAATTCAACATCTAAACACTACGCTTCCCAGACCAAGACGAAGACATGTACATGTGCATAAACATGTTACAATAAATTGAACGCGTAAATAATTGCGCAGATTGTTCTTTCGCAGGTCCAACTCTTCCTCGTTTTCACGCATGCAAGCACTGGACTCAACGACTTCCAATGAGACGTCGAGACGACCGCGGTCCTCTGTGACTACAAAATTAGAAGTTGCCGCTCAGCTCTACCTTCTGAAGCTTGCTTTGAAATTCCCCATGTACCTGACCTAATAATTATCATCTCTCTCAAATCACAAAAACACTGTACTCATTCTGCACAACCACCCATTGTATTTCTCTCACCCCTGCCTCTGGCCCTCAGTTCGGAGGAATTCACATACATGAAATGCTTTTTAAACAACAATAGTGATACTTAAGTGTATCTTGAATATGGCGTGCACGGCACTCCTGACTGCAAGCCGTTACGGGCGCTCAAAAGTGCCCCCAGAAGCTGGGTATGTGCGTCATTCCACGGAGGGAACGGCGAAATGCATCGACCCCCGAAGGGAATCAACATCAGCATCGACACCCACCGACGCGGCCGCAGCCCATCATCGTGCACCGTCCACGGGCGACGAGCACACAAAAGCTCCGGGACCGCGAAGGGGCATATGCGCGCAAAAAGGCGGGGACCAGCAGGGGAAGCAGCGTTTTAGCGGTCGTCGGGAATAGATGCCCGGCGCCGCGAGCGGACCAGGATGCCCAGGTGAGTATCTGCACAAAGATGTGTGCACCCAAAGGCGAGTGGGGACCCGGAAAGAGTATCCAGGGGCTGGAGACAATACAGAGCCATCGACACCCAGCATTGGCGCGCAAATAACAGCAGCCACCAGCATCGCGTTGTACCCTACGGCTCGGGATGCATGTGCGCATCGTGCTACAGTCGCCCGTCGCCGCCTCATGGCAAGGGTGCGGAGCCCCTCGGCACGGATAGCATGAGGACCGCACCCAAGTAACTGTGGTCCTGGTCCAAAGTGTCGCCAAATGATATCTTATCTTGGTTAATTGATTCTATAAAAGCCTGGGAGAAAATTCTACAATGTCCCGTTATGAGTGGCTTATCATCGTAACCCAATTTCATGGCTATCTCCATCACAGTGTACGCAGAGTACAATTTTGCCCTTCAGCCGAGGCACGCTGATGGTAAACACGTGGTAAAATCCCTTATGGGAGTATTACGTGGTCGGCTGGTTCACCTCCCAACCTAGACTCGTAACCAGTCTGCCTACGAGTAGCAAAAATGTGGCAAGCACTTTGTCGTAGGCATACTGGTACAACTCGGGATTTGTGATCGAGCTGCCCCCGGAGTTTGAATTCTTAGGTGGTGCCGATCACGCCATCACGGTGGCTGGGCACTTGCCATCAATTCCTTGTAACTTCGACTGTTTTTTACGCACCTCCCGCGGAGCTGCCGGAAATTCTGAG